ATAGGTGTACGATTTTTGTCCAGTCTCTTCCTGCATCTCCCATTCCCCTTTCCCCCCCAAGAATAGTCAGTCTATTCCCTATTCCCTTTCTGATTCTATTATAATCACCAGTTCATTCTGTACATCAGATTATTTATTCACTTGATTCTTAGATTCACTTATTCACTTGTGCATGTTTGTTGTTCACAATTTGTATCTTTACCTTTTTCTTCTTCCTCTTCTTAAAGGATACCTTTCAGCATTTCGTATAATACTGGTTTAGTGGTGATGAACTCCTTTAGCTTTTCCTTATCTGTGAAGCTCTTTATCTGACCTTCAATTCTGAATGATAGCTTTGCTGGATAAAGTAATCTTGGTTGTAGGTTCTTGCTATTCATCACTTTGAATATTTCTTGCCACTCCCTTCTGGCCTGCAAAGTTTCTGTTGAGAAATCAGCTGACAGTCGTATGGGTACTCCCTTATAGGTAACTGACTTTTTTTCTCTTGCTGCTTTTAAGATTCTCTCTTTGTCTTTTGCTCTTGGCATTTTAATTATGATGTGTCTTGGTGTGGTCCTCTTTGGATTCCTTTTGTTTGGGGTTCTCTGCGCTTCCTGGACTTGGAAGTCTATTTCTTTCACCAGGTAGGGGAAGTTTTCTGTCATTATTTCTTCAAATAGGTTTTCAATATCTTGCTCTCTCTCTTCTTCTGGCACCCCTATAATTCGGATGTTGGTACGCTTGAAGCTGTCCCAGAGGCTCCTTACACTATCTTCGTATTTTCGGATTCTTTTTTCATTTTGCTTTTCCGGTTGGGTGTTTTTTGCTTCTTCGCATTTCAAATCTTTGACTTGATTCTTGCGCTCCTCTGGTCTGCTATTGGGTGTAATATTCTTTATTTCAGAGCGTGTATGCTTAATTTCTAGTTTCTTTATCATAGCATCGAGGGTCTCATTAGTTTTCGTGAAGCTCTCCAAAAGTTTATTGCAAGCCCTCAAAATTGCGTTTTTTAGCTCTATATCCTCCATTTCTGTCATGTTTTTTTGTCTCCGCATTTTTTATGCTTTCTTGGTGCACCCCCTAGTGGTCTTTGTGCGCAGTCTTGTTCTAGTTGAGCCTTGATTGTTGTAGTTAATACTAGAGGGATTTGACCACCAGGCCGACTGGCTGTGTGAATCAGCTGTGTCTGCCGCGGAAAACTTCTGTCCTCTGGGGAGGTGCTAATCTAGCCTTTGCCTGAGGCGATCTGGCAAATGGCTCTGCGCAGGGCTTGGGCGGGGCGGGATCAACAGGGCGGGTGGAGGGAGCAGTTATGGCCGCTCTCAGTCCCGTTCCCAGAGGCTCTGCTTCTCAGAACCCCAGGAACCGCTGCAAACCTCGGAGAGAAAGCTGCCTTCCAACTGATGCCAGACACTCCCGCTTCTCCCGTTTGGGTCCGAGTCCCCAGCGATTCGCCCGTATCTGGAGCTCAGAGTCTGAGACTCCCCCCTGACCGAAAACGACAACCGCGCTCTCAGCCACCAGCCCGCTTTGCGCGCGCACCTCCGCACCTGAGTATTTTCCACACTGCGCCTCCTCTGAGCCTCGGTGTGCTGTTATTTTTCCTTCTAGTTGAAGAGTCTCTCCTCAGCCAGCCTTCCTGTGGTTCTGGGTGATGTCCGTTCCGTCTTTTAGTTGTATTTTTGAAGTGGTTGTTCGAGGCAGCAAACTCGGGCGTTAACGTATGCCGCCATCTTGGTTTGTTTTTTTTTTCTGTATTATTTCTTATAATTCTGGAAGTTCTAGCTATGTGTAATAAGATGAGAGACAAATAAGAGTCACCATTTTGAGAAAAGGCTCTCATTATTATTGACATTGTAGAAGCCTCCAAAATAACCAAAAATCTGTTAAAACCAATGAGTTCGTTCAATGAGACAACTGAACACATAACGAAGATACCAAAGTGAAAAGCTTCCCTATATATAGGACTAACTGGTTAGAAAAATTAATGGGATAAAAGAATCCTATCCATAAATAGCAAGCTTAACAAGAAACATGTAGGACCCCTTTAGAAAAGTCAATTGTACTAAGACACACATCTACTTAAATTTTTTTTATCCTAATACTGTAATAGGATAAAGTTGCAAACAACCTAGTAAATGTCCAACAAAAGGAAAATGGTTTATTATTTATATACCGTCCTGTTCCAAAATTATTTTAGGGGAGCTTTCACAGTATAAACTGACTTAAAATTAAGTGAAGAATTCAGGTAAAGATAAATTTGAGGGATGGACCACAGACTTTATTCTGAGTGTTATAGCAGCCAAAGTAAGGAAATGATCATGATTAATTATACAATTCATGTTTATACCATAAAATATCGAGTTGATTGGAAGAAACAGCTGTTCCTACTACTGAGACCAGAGTGTTCTCATGGTTCCCCCAAAGAAGATAACTGCTGCGTAGAGAATTATCATTTTGATAACCTAATGCAGCAAACAGCGCCCGACTTCGTAGAGCTGTTTCTTACTGAACTCCTTGCTAAGGGGCCGCATAGAAGCAAGCTCTAACAGTTTGGTAACGAGCATTTGCAGTGGAGGGAGGAATGTGTGACAGTTATGGCTAGGATAGACATGAAGGTAATTCAGTGCACTCTGAGGGGGGCAGCTCTATGGAGTAATACATTGTAGAGACTAAAATTGTGGTTCTCAGCTGAGGTGTTGTGTTACCCTGGTGTCCTGTGACTCCACAGATTGGCCACACTGAATTTTTATCAATGTGTTTATTTTTGCTATAGTTGAGGGTCCACACTGCTAAGAAGTCTGGAATATGAATGCACAAGTCACCAGGGAGGCCAGGCAAGGAGGCATGAAGTGCTACTTAGGCTGGCAATAAAAAGAATTTCACGTGGATGGACTGAACAGTCTCCATAAATATTCTCTAAAATTAGATTCGGTAAGTACTGTGTAGAACAAGTAGGTTGTTTCTGTCAGATATAGGTTCAAATGTTTTAATAGTTAACTAATGGAATTAACCTCTGATGAGGTAAGATACTAGAAGGCTAGCTTACCTAAAGATTTCCTTAAAACACAATTTAAGGTTTGATCCAGCACATGTTGGAAAGGGCAGTCAAGGTTTCCAAATTCCTACATAGTAGAGCATAGCCACATTAATATTAAATTTGGAAGAATTGATTTGTAAAAAATGAATGATACTGCCCTGGCCGGTCGCTCAGTGGTTAGAGCGTCAACCCATGGACTGAAGGGTCATGGGTTGGATTCCCGGTCAAGGGCATGTACCTGGGCTGCAGGGGCACGTGCGGGAGGCAACCAATCGATGTGTCTCTCATATTGATGTTTCTCTCTCTCTCTCTCTCTCTCATTTTCCCCATCTCTCTCCCCCTCCCTTCTACTCTCTCTAAAAAATCAATGGAAAAAATATCCTAACTCCTTGAGTGAGGATTAAAAAAAAAGAAAAAAGAATTATATCAAACCTTGACCTAAGTAACAGCAAAAAAGAAAAAGTAAGATATCCATATAACTTCCTGGCAAATCCTTCAAGGTAAATGGTGACCAAGTAGATAGTAACGAGGGTAGTTTGGGAAGGTTGGAATATGAGTCCCAGTTTTACTTTTCTTTGATCCTCAAGTTTCTTCATCTGCAAAATAAGGGTGTTAGTACTTACTTTAGGGCTAACCAGTTGGTAAGATTTAAATCTAATAGAATCCCTGGTAGCCTCCTCTAAGCCATTTTGTGTATGTGGTATGCTTTTATTACTAGAGGGTCCTTGTCTGATGATTCACTAGAAGACAAGGTTTGCTGAGACACTGTGTAGATAAGACCTTTTAAATTACTTCATTGATTGGTGGGGCAATCAGATTCTTTCCTTTCAGGTGTCTGAGGTGGAATTTTTGAAAGTTATGAGATAACATTTGAAAGCCCTTTGTTCAGCCTTACCCCTCTCATCCTGATCATCTCTCAAGTCCAATCACAGAATCAGGTGTCTGTGTCAGGGGTTAAAGGCAAAGGGCAGTTGTCCTGAGGGTAGTCACATCTAGGCAACTCCATCTCATGCTACCATTTACAATATTGAGTTGGGTACTCAGATAAGTTTTAAAGACTTTTTTCATTTGACTTTATACTCACAGGAAAGCTCTTTGTCATGGCTCCAAAAAGACCCTGCCCAACTTGCTCTGATCTTAGCATTTAAGTTCTCAGAGAAATTGATTTCATGACATGTAGAATAATTTAAAGTTAAAAGACCACAGTGTGCCCTGACCGGCGTGGCTCTGTTGTTTGGGCGTCATCCCATGCACCATAAGGTTGCTGGTTCGATTCCTGGTCAGGCACATGCCAGGTTGTGGGCTCCATCTCCTGTAGGGGGAGTTCAGGAGACAGCTGATCTATGTTCTGCTTTCACATCAATGTTTCTTTCTCCCTTCCTCTTTCTCAAAAGATTAATTTTTAAAAATCTTTAAAAAAAAAAAAGATCACAGTGTGAAATGCCCAAGAAAATAGCAAGGAGATAGGAAGAATATAAATGTTGGTGAAATCGGTGCTTCCCACTAGGAAATCGAATTAATACTTCAAGTAATTGGCATTGCTACCTCTGCCAGAATTTGTTTTTTCCCCCTGGAAGAGAAAAAAAGGCCTAAGATGTGGACTGTGGGGTAGAGATTATTGCAGACTAGTGGTCCTTTGTCTTATTAATATTAGCCACCTCTCAGCATTTTTATATTACAGCAAAGTCTCTATCTCTTTTTCCTTACCAAAGCCTTTCCCATCAAGGCAAATAAGGTAATAGAGAACTCCCTGTGGCAGTGTATACACACACATACAGGGTGGGGCAAAAGTATGTTTACAGTTGTGAGTACACGGAACAGTTTATTTTTATATTATTTATTATTACACTAGAGGTCCAATGCATGAAATTTATGCAAGAGTAGGTCCTTCTCCAGCCTGCTGGCACCCAGGACCCAGGAGGCCCCACCCACCCACCGCAGCCAGCTGGTCAGTGGCCTGCACCTCCCTCTTTGGGGCGATTATGGAGCCCCCCGATTGATCACCCTGCCGGCCAGTGGCCTGGGCCTCCCTCTGCGGGGCGATCATAGGGCGATGGCTGGGCCCCGACCAATTGCATCGCACCCACCTTGGCTGGCCTGGCGCCAGTGTGTGTCATAGCGTGGTCCTGGATGGTTACCCGGATGGTCATTCCGCTGTTCTGCTGGGTCAATTTGCGTATTATGCTTTTATTATACTGGATTATTTTCCATGGGAGCACTGTAAACCCACTTTTGCCCCATCCTGTATATTTACTAGTATATATACATAAACACATGCATATATATATACACACGGACAAATACTGTAATAGTAATGTAAAGGATAATTTTTTAGAAATTTAATAAAATTGATGGACCTCTAGCAACACTTACGAAAAAAATAATAGAAGAAACATTATCAATATGAATTTAAAAGGAGATACCTCTGCAGATTAAAGGAAAAATTTTTAATTGTGATAATAAAATGTATTCTCATGTGTAAATGTTTAGGTATGACCATACTGGAAGGCATAAAGAAATAATCAGAAGCTTTTACCAAGATGTAGAATCACCTAGAATGTAGACAGATGCAGACTGTCAAGTGTATTAGCATTACTCTCAGTGATGTGGTTTTCAGAAATGGTAAACACATCTTGGTAAAGATCTGAACAAAACAAAGTATAATCTTCTTATGACTTACATGGAAGTTCCCTTCCTAGAAAATTTAGCATTTATTAAAACCATGTTAAATTTACTTTGTGTTTATAGGTAAAACTGTTTTAGGGACTAGGCTGAGATAAATATTTAAAGGTTCCATGGCAGATCTTCACTATGCAGAAACTGCCCACTAAAATGTTACAGGACACCCCACATGCCTGGCCTCTGCAAGGGGACTTACTGATCATGACAACAAAGACCCCAGAGGGTGGCTCTGTCCCTATTGGGTAACAGAGCTTTTCATGGTCTTGTTGACCAGATGGTAAAGCATAGAATGGCTGCCTGGCCTTGCTCAAGGAGTTCAGATCCATTGGACAAGCTTGCCACTGGAAGGGATGTTCCTAGCGGCTTCCCTACACCTCTACAGAGAGTACCGAAAGCTATTGGACATGGGTTATATTTTTCTTCCAATTTTATTGCACTGTAACTGACATAACATTGTAAAAGTTTAAGATGTTCAACTGATTTATTTATATACTGCAAAATGACTTCTGTAATAAATTAGTTAACATCCATCACTTCACATAGTTTTTTATGGTGTTGAGAACTTTTAAGATATACTCTCTTAGCAGTTTTTAAATATACTAGTATAGTTAATTGTAGTCACTATACTGCACAGTATATCTTTAGAACTTATTTCTCTTATGTTTAGAAGTTTGTACCTTTTGACCATCTTTACTTGTTTCCCCCTTCTTGGGCATTGGTCATTAAAATGACTATTTGGATTAGCTGTCCTATTAAGCTGCTTTCCAACCCTAACATTTTCTATTTCTCAATAATATTTTTTTACTTTTCTTGTTTTTGTTTTAATAAGAAAATGTAATTGCGCCATAACCGGTTTGGCTCAGTGGATAGAGCGTCGGCCTGCAGACTGAAAGGTCCTAGGTTCGATTCCGGTCAAGGGCATGTACCTTGGTTGCGGGCACATCCCCAGTAGGAGGTGTGCAGGAAGCAGCTGATCGATGTTTCTCTCTCATCTATGTTTCTAGCTCTCTATCTCTCTCCCTTCCTCTCTGTAAAAAATTAATAAAATATATTAAAAAGAAAATGTAATTGCATTGAAGTGTTAAATAATAATGCTTAGTACCATTATGATTGTTTTCTGTGACCCTTCCCATTCGAAACCCTCAGGGTAAGTAGGCTTGTTCTTTCTCTGAGCTCAGCCACTTTAGGCCCTACCTTTCCTGTGGGGAGACCCCGGTAGAGCTGACTGTCCCTTGCCTCCACTGGGTCTTTAGAAGAGCTCCAGCCCAAGAACCAGCATCTTTGGCATCCTGCTCAGTCTGCAGTAGCAGTCTCCTCCACAATCCCCCAGCATCACATGTCAGATAAAAAGAAAGTGAGGATAGGCCAGGAGAGATGTGTTTCTGAAAGTTTTTGTTGTTACCCTGTTTGATTCTCTTCTCTTAGGAATCCACTCCTAAAGGTTTGCAATTGAATTTTAACTTGTCTAATACCAAGTTTTATTTTTTATTTAAGGTTATTTCTGATGCTTGGAAGCTATCCTTTCAGCCACAAAGATGGTAATAAATCTTTGCCTCCCACAGTTCAGACCAAGAATTTCATGCAACAAGGTAAACAAAAGAAGTATATACACATAAATAAATTCACTATATCTGTTTTTCATGTGTTTTTCTCCCCCCACTTCCTGCCTTGTATAGTGAACTTAAGTCAGGCTTAATGTGCTTTCACAAACCTCATTGTTTTAGATTCCACCAGATGGTATTGAGATAAGATTGGGTTAGGCTGCACCTCTAGAGTCAGACAGTTCCATTGCAAGGTGAGCTGTGACTCATTTTGTGGATATTCGTATTCATTGTGATGATAAATTTTAATTTTACTCAAAGTCAGTTACGGTTAGAGACACTCGTTCTCCTCTTTCTCACCCCCCTGTTCTTATCATTTCAAATGCTAGGAATAATGGCTTGTATTTTTTATTTGTATTCCTTGTTCTTCTTCTTCTTTTTTTTTTTTTTGTCTTACTGCCTTTATTCCTTGTTCCTTTTTTAAAAAAAACATCCCTTAGCTTTTTAAAAATATATATTTTTATTGATTTCAGAGAGGAAGGGAAGAGGGAGAGATAGAAACATCAATGATGAGAGAGAATCACTGATCGGCTACCTCCTGCACACCCCCTACTGGGGATTGAGCCTGCAACCCGGGCTTGTGCCCTTGACCGAAATTGAACCCGGGACCCTTCAGTTGGCAGGCCAACATGCTATCCACTGAGCCAAACTGGCTAGGGCTTCCTTGTTCTTTACATGAATTAATCTGCCTCCCCTTTTGTACAAGGAGGGTGTGTTTCCACAGCTCAGAGCAGTGGATAAGGAAGTTCAAAGGGGAGAATTGAACCCCTCCCTTAATTTGGAGTTTCTGCACTCACCGTACTATTTTAGGTTCCCAGATTGTTAAGGTGGCTCCTTCAGACAAAGATATCTTAAATTTCTATTGGTTATAACAAGTATTAGAAATATTAAAAGATGAAGAGGTTATTTACAATCCTATCTTTTGCACATGCACCGTTTTAAATTTCCCATCATATTTTGTGATCTTTGTCCATGTGCGCACATTTTTTTAAACCAAGTTCCATCATTGATAGATTTACAAGAAGCTTGTTTGTTATGCCTTCCTAGGGACCTTGTTGTAATGGGTAGTCCAAATACAAAATTGAGAACTTTAATGAACATCTTTTTCCCCCCTAAATATGCATGTTTTCATTTTCTGAAATAAAAAACTACCAATTTATATGCCCTGTTTCCACAGAGATGTTATTTTCAAGGGATTTTGGCTGGGTTGGGCAAAGTTTTCTTGCTCCTATTTTTTAAGAATAGACAGTACTTGGGGGATACGTTTTGTCCTCATATTGGGTGCCTATAAAAAAAAACAACACAGGAGAATTTGAAGTAATAGAGGAAATTTTAAAATGAGGAACTTCAGGTTTTCTTTAAAAAATTTTCTTAGAAGTGGCAAATTCTTGGAAACTAGTTGTCTTCATTTGGATCTCATCAAATCAATTTGTCTCATATTTGTCATTAAATCTAGATATCAGCTGATGGCTATGAAGTAGAAAATCTCATCTCTGAAGACCTCACAAAGAGAAGTCGTGGTTTTAGGACGGAGTATTTTATTAAGCCACCAGTCTATGTGACTGTTTCCTTTCCCTTCAGTGTGGAAATCTGTAGGATTAACATAGACCTCACAGCTGGGGGAGGCCAAAATGTAACTGGCCTGGAAATGTACACGTCCACCTTATCCAACAGAGCATCTTGGAATACCTCTGAGTGCCAGACACTGGGCCCAGCTGAGCCATCCGTTCCGGACAAGGAGGCGTTCACCTTGGTAGGCAAAGTGTTGTTGAAAAACCAAAACCAGGTGGTGTTTAGCCACAGGGGCTTCAAGGCCAGGCCACCATTTGGCCCGATAGAAGCCACACTCCCCTCCCCTACTATTGTGGCCCAGGAGCTCTGGAATAAAGGACCTCTCTCCCTTAACCATGTGGCCCATCTCAAGATCTGTATCACCCACGTGACAGGCAGTGGAATCCCTTGCATCAAGCGGTTGGAAGTGTGGGGTCAGCCCGCCAAAACCTGCTCTCGGGAGGTAATAGATAGTGTCCTGCTGGTTGCCTCCAAAAACCTCTCCCAGGACTCGGCTCTGCAGGTACTGGCCTTGCCCATGGAGAGTGACTGTGACCCTGGGGGTGAGTCTGGGGGCCAGCAGGCTCCCTCCAGCCTGCAGGAACTGGCTGAGGTATTTCAGGATGTGCCTGAGGAGTTCCTGGATCCCATCACCTTGGAGATCATGCCTTGCCCCATGCTCCTGCCCTCAGGCAAGGTCATCGACCAGGCCACACTGGAGAAGTGTAACCGCAGTGAAGCCACATGGGGCCGAGTGCCCAGTGACCCTTTCACAGGGGTAGCCTTTACTCCACACTCCCAGCCCCTGCCTCACCCTTCCCTGAAGGCCCGGATCGACCATTTCCTGCTCCAGCATTCCATCCCTGGCTGCCACCTGCTTGGGAGAGCACAGACTACGTTGGCATTGACCCCTTCTTCCATTGCTCTGCCATCTCGGAAAAGGAAGATGGAGCAGGCTGAGGATGCCCCAGACAGTAGTAGCCTTGATGTAAATGCTTCCGGTTTTTCTACCACAAGCCTGGTCTCACCCACTACCTCAGAGCACACTGCTAAGAAAATGAAAGCTGCCAGTGAGCTTGGTCTGACACACATGGACTGCTCAACAGGTAACCCACCGCCCTATGTCCATGCCGGTTGTCATCTTTACTCCTCCCAGGTGACACTTGGCACCATTGCCCTTTGTTTTTGCCTTGTCAGCTGAAATTACCCCAAATCTTACTGGCTTAAAGTGCCACCCAGTCACACCTCACAGCCCCTCTAGTCAGGAATCAAAGTGTTGCTTGGCTGGATTGTCTGCTTCAGGCTCTTCCACGCTACTGTCAGAGTGCTGGTGGGGCTGTGGTCAGCTCAAGGCTTCACTGGGGAAGGATTCCCTTCCAAGCTCACTCACATGGTTGTTTAGGATGCGGTTCCCTGCTGAACTGTGGCCCTGGAGGCTTCACTTCCTTGTTGGCTGGTGAGCGGAGACTACACTCAGTTTCTTGCCATGTGGGCCTCAAGGGCAGCACAAGCATGGCAGCTGTGTGCACAAGGGTGTGCAAACAAGGTGGGAGTTGGTTTTGAATAATCTAACCATGGAAATGACATCCCATCACTTTTGCTGTATTTTGTGAAAAACAAGTCACTAAAGTCTAGCTCACTCTAAGGGGAGGGGGGATCCAAGGGCCCGAGGTGGAGTTCACGGATCATTTCAGATCCTCTTCCACACCGTCTATTCCTGTTTTAGTCACTGTGTTGATCTAAGACTGGTGGTTGAATTTTGTCTAATGCCTTTTCAGTATCAATTGTAATTTTTTATCCTTAGGTTTTTAATGTGAGAAAGCCCACTGACAGACTTCTTAATATTGAACTGTTGTTAAATTCCTGGAGTAAACTCCATTTGGTCTTGCTTCTTTTAATGGGCTGCTTGATTCTGTTTGCTAGTGTTTTATTTAGGATTTTTGCATTCATTGGTGAGACTGGACTGTAATGTGTGTGTGTGTGTGTGTGTGTGCGCGTGTGCACCATATTTGTTCAGGTTTGGTATGGATGATTTATTTGCTTCATAAGACAAATTAGAAGTTTCTTTTTCTAATCTCTGGAACAATTTAATATTCAGATCACTTACACTGTTTTTGTTTGTTTGTCAATCCTCACCAGAGGATATTTTTTCCATTGATTTTTAGAGAGTGGAAGGGCGGGAGTGTGGAGGGAGAAAGAGAGAGAGAGAGAAAGAGAGAGAGAGAAACATCTATGTGAAAGAGACACATTGACTGGTTGCCTCCCGCACATACCCTGACTGGGCCTGGGATCAAACCTGCAACTCAGGTACGTGCCTTTGACCGGGAATTGAACCTGCAAGCCTTCGGTGCTCAGGCTGGTGCTCTAACCACTGAACACACTACCCAAGGTACATAATTTACTCTGTACATGTTTGGTATTATTCCCTGTGATGATCAGTGCCTGGTGCTTTGGGAGCTAGCTCTTTGACAATCTTTTCTTTTTCTTTATGAAAATTCATCAGTATAGATTTTATTCTTTTAATTTCCTCTCTTACTCTAAAAATCCTGTGCAAGTAGCGTACTTAAAGGTTACACCTGTGTCTCTGTTTTTGAGTGTAAATTACAGTTAACACGACCCCCAGAAACTCCTGGAAGCATCTGAAGTGTGATGGGCGAGACCAGGAGAAAGGTTTTTAGACCTGGATGTCTGTGGAGGTCTCCATTGGTGTTGGCCTTGGCAGATTTGTTGGTGACACAGAACCATGCTGACCAGTGATCCTTGAAGGTTCCAAGCTGATGTCCTTGTCCTATAAAGTATAGACCAAAATAATTCCCTCTCCACTTGGGGCAGTTTTGTGAACCAGGCAGGTGTCTGGGTCCTTCCTTGGGCAGCTGCCCCCTCCACCCATGGCCTTCATCTTGTGCCCATTGCTTGGCTTTCTGTAGACCACACAGAGAAGGCCCTCGATGGTGCAGTGACAGAGAGATCTTCCTGTCCCACTCAGTAATAACTGCTTTGCTTTACCCAACAGGAGAGCGTGCAGGCCAGCATCCCTGCAGAGCAGCGGGGTCTCCAGAAGGGAGGAGATGGAAAGAGCGGATTAAGGCTGCTGGGGAGGGAGAGCAGGGGTCCAAGGCTGCATGTTTGCTGGCTGCAGTCATTTCCTGGCCCACAGGGAGGCCTTCAGAAAGTAGGGTGCAGTTCTGCAGGGGAGCCACAAGGTGGCCCCGACCTGCCCAGCAGTTGTCCCAGAGGAGGAAAGCTGGTACAGAGCCCAGGAATCCAGAAAGCTGTGTGGTGTGGGTGGGTAGCAACTGCCAGGGTCCCCATTGTGATGTATTCTGCCATCACAATCCACCAGTGGACATCGGAGGACTTTCCTTACATTTGTGTCTGTTTAGAGTTGGAAGTGCTGTTTTTGTAGACCTCAGTGGACTTGGTGTTTTGGTCTTTTTTTTTTTTTTTTGCCAAACCTCTCTCTGGATATTGTTGTCAACAGGGCCAGAGTCCCATGAGCAGAAGCTGTCACAAAGCTTGGAAATTGCCTTGACATCTACCCTTGGCTCCATGCCCTCCTTCACGGCGCGGCTGACCAGGGGACAGCTCCGACACCTCGGCACAAGGAGGACCAGCACTTCCTGGAGGGCAGGCACTGGCCCGGGTAACATGGGTCCCGTCCACCTCCTTGGAGTCCTTGAATGGGGTGCTGAGCCATAACCCTGGGGCTCTCTGGCCCTTCATGCCCAGCTTCTTAGCTCCAATACCCAGGCCTCTTTCCTTCTCCAGCGGGGAGCTGACGGACAGGCTGCCTGTGAAGTTTGACTCTTCACAAGAAGAGCTTTCTTTAGGCAACTCTTAGTAATTCTGTGGACGTAGACACCCTGCTGTGTTTTTTTTTACGTAAGGTTTATTATTAATTGTTCTGTCCTGAGGACTTTCGTTTGTTTCTCCTCTTTAGTTTATTTTTCTTATCTAGTTTGTCTCCCATCTGACCTCTGGGGTCTTTTATGTAAGTGTGAAGTTTGGGGTTGAGTATGTCACCTTCATTCTTTCCTATTAACATTTTCTTAGTCTTAGAAAAGAACAGTGGTAGCTTACTGAGCCAATTTTTGCCTAAAATGAACCTGGGACCGCACTGGATACTGGAATTGATTAGGATATAAAGTGAGAGGGCCCGACTGGGATGCCGGGGCACCTTCTCCAAGATGAAACCTGGTGGGGCTAATGGTAAGGCGCACACTTCTTCCTCCTGCCCATCCAGAACCAGGCTCTCCTCTGCTGTCTGGACCGCAGGTCATCTCTTCTGCCTTCGTCCCAAACTCCTCTCTGATTGTTTCCATCCTGACCATTCCCCAAAACTTGTCTTGTCCAAATGACCAGCATTTCCACGTCCATAAATAAAATGGTCACTGATCCTCTGCACAATATCTGATGTGGCTGATCAGCCCCTCCTTTTTTTTTTTTTTAAATATGGAACACTTCCATATTTAAATTTGCGTGTCATCCTTGCGCAGGGGCCTGCTAATCTTCTCTGTATCGTTCCAATTTTAGTAGATGTGCTGCCGAAGCGAGCACGCCCCTTCTCGAAACACCTTCTCTCTTGGCCTTCTAGATGTTACACTCTTTTTCTCCCCATTTCAATGATCCCTCTTCAGTTTCCATTGTTGACTCTCCTCTTCAATACTCTGGTCCTGGACTCTCTTCTCTCTGTCCTCTTTGTCACCCAAGTGAGAGCCCACTGGCCAGTGACTGCCCATGTTCACCTATAGCTTTGATCTTTCCTGGAACTCAGACCCCGACCTCCCTAACAGCTTCTTGACGCCTCCACGTGGAAAACTCACGGATATCTTGAGTGAACTTAACTGAGAACAGCTCCAAAGGTTCTCCCACCCACATCCCCTCCCACACCATTGAGGGCAAAGAGCAGCATCTTTTTTTAAAAAAATATATTTTATTGATTTTTTACAGAGAGGAAGGGAGAGGATAGAGAGTTAGAAACATGGATGAGAGAGAAACATCGATCAGCCACCTCCTGCATGGTTCCCACTGGGGATGTGCCAGCAACCAAGGTACATGCCCTTGACCGGAATCGAACCCGGGACCCCTTAGTCCACAGGCCGACGCTCCAGCCACTGAGCTAAACCGGTTAGGGCAAGAGGAGCATCTACCGTTTGGTCAGGCCTACAACATGCAGGCCATCCTTAGTTTTCCTTCAGTCATCAAGTCTTGTTCATACTCCTCCGGAGGAGATCTCAGCGTGTCCTCTGCTCCACTGCCTTCCTGCTGTGCTCTCCAGGCTCCTGTGGCAGCCCCGCTACTTCCTAACAGCCACGCTTTCCCTGCCATAGCCCGTCATCCTCATGGAAGCTAGATCATTCTCTCCCACTTCTTAGAATTCTCCCATCGCATCCCATTGAACTTGGAATAAATGGAAACTCCTGCTGCCTGTGAGGTCCTGCATGCTCCAGCCCCTGCCCTCCCTGCTCTGCCATCTCACCTGGAGCCATGCTCATGCCTCACACCCCTCTGTCTTCTTTCTCTGATGGACCAGCCATTCTTTGTCCTTGCTGTCTCGTTCACTCTTTGCATGGCTGGCCTCTTTTCATTCCTATGGCCCTTCCCTAAGAGGCCATCCTTGCCCTCTCCAGAGGTGTGTGGATTGGAAGAGAAAGAACAGCCTCCTTAGGCAAGGCCATGAGAGAAGGAAGAACAGGTGCAGCTTGGGGCAGGGGGTGGTGGGCACCTGCCCACTGTGGCGCTCATTCAGGAGTCCCTTTGGGAAGTGTGGAAGGAGAGAAAGCCAGCAGCACAGGAAGGGGATGATGGCTGGGGAGGGGAGCTGCCAGGCTGCAGGGCTGAAGAGAAGCAGGCCCCAGGCTCAGCTGGCAGGTCTGCTGCCAACAGACCTCAGCTCTGCTCTCTAGTGACTTCTCTACCCCCTTGACCTGCCCAACCCTGACACACAAGAGCATTTTCTGCCTTTTCCTTTTCTTGTCACACCTCACCTTGTAATTTATCAAGGTTGTCAGCGTGAGTTTGTGCTTTGCTTGCCTTGGGAGCCTGTCCCAAGGGAAAGTGCATCTCGGGAGACTGGGACGAAGGGCCCAGCGCTACCTGGCTCCCCCGAGAAGCCAGCTCTTTTTGAGCATTTATGGGAACGCCAAGATTTGATGATCTTGTGGAGGCCTTCCAGCTTCCCCGGCTCCCTGGACCTCTGCTCTCAGATCAGCCAGAGGTGGCCTAGGGAGGGGTGCAGCCAGACTGCTGCAGGGGTAGAGGGTGGGGCAGCTTCTCTCCCACTCCAGGCATGTGCCCTGCCTCCAGGATGGAGCCTGGACTGGGCGCAGCTCTCCCTAACCCTGTCCTATTTTCCTCCCTGATTTACCAGAGCAGCCTGGGAGTGTCCTGGGTCCCGAGTGTGCCTCCTGCAAAAGAGTATTTTCTCCCTACTTCAAAAAGGAGCCCGTGTACCAGCTTCCCTGTGGCCACCTCCTGTGCCGGCCCTGCCTGGGTGAGAAGCAGCGCTCCCTGCCCATGATATGCACAGCCTGCCAGCAGCCTTTCACCAGCCAGGACGTGCTGCGGGTCCACTTCTGAGTGACTGGCCTCAACCCAAGAAGACCTGTTGTTGGGAGGAGCAGAAGTGGGGGTCATAGCTCCCTGAGATCTGGCCAAGTCCCAGGCACAGAGGGGCCTCTTCCATTCCCAAGGGCTTTCCCTTTATTGCCTCCCACAGTGTAGCACAGGCCTGGAGTGAGGGGTGGGGGAGGGGCCACTCCACTCCAGCTCAAGTGGCAATAGGATAACAAAGCCATACTTCGGGCTGGGAGGGCTGGGGGAGATGTTGTTGCCCTCCTGTACCTCCCTGCCACCCCCCTTTCTGCCAGAGCCCAGGGCCTGCTTCAGCCAGCCCCACCCTGCTGAGGGCCCCCAAGTTATTTGCATACACGCGCGCGCGCGCGCGCGCACACACACACACACACACACACACACGTGTGCTAGTGGGGCAGGGGGCCTCCCCACCATCCTGCAGGGTGGATGTGCGTGGAGCGTGTGCATGTGGGGCAGGGAGCCTCCCCACCATCCTGCAGGGTGGATGTGCGTGGAGCACGGTTGTGTGTGGCTCGGGGTCTCAGAGAGCCTCTGCCTTCAGTGTCACCCAAAAGTGGAGTGAATGACTCAGCCTCCAACTGGCAGACTGCGTGGAGCCTTAATAAAGTGATTGCTGACATCTGCTGATGGATTGCCTGTCTGTCGTCATACTCCTGTCCCCTCCCGCACCCATACAAAGCAGTCACTGCCCCCCAGACAGGCTGTAATTCGGTCAGATGCCTGCTGTGGGAGGGTTGGCAGGTGGGTGTGTGTGGGTGGGGAGGGAGGGGGAGCCCCTCCAGGGGCTGGCTGCTGCCCTCTGAGGGGAAAGGTGCCTTTCCTACCGGGGCCCATTTCAGGAAAACGACTTGTTTGTAGCTGCAGTTTGTTTTTCCGTTCAGAATTTAGTTTTGTGGAGTCGCAGAGGGAAAATACGTGTTCTTACAATTGTTTACTGTACGGAGTAGATTCTAGTCACTAGGAAGGTCAGTGAGAAACTACCCCGCGCTTTTCCCTCTTCTGAGCGTGCCTGGGAAGGAGCCCCGCCGAGCGGCTCCACGTGTCACATATGTCATCCTGAGATTCCCTCGCAGGCTCCTGTGGACAGGGCTCTGAGCTGCCTCCCCTCCCGCAGCCTGCACCTGAGGGCTGGAGGCTTGCATTCTCTCTGGTTTTTAAGCTTTGCACACGGGCAGAACTCCAGTCCTTACACTGAACTTTATAAAAAAATTCAGCTTCCTGGACTGCAGTCCAGACCCAAGATTTAGAGATCTGGGGTTGGGGTTCAGGAATCTGCTTGTTAAAGAGTTCCTGGGGGATTTGTGTGTCTCAAAGGTGGCTGCATCCTTCCCTCTGCCTCCTGCTGGCGCTTCCCTTGAGACTTCGGGTCTGCACTGTTGGCCCATGAGGCTCCATGTGCCCTTGGCTTTCAGTGTCTAGGCCATTCCAGAGTCTTGCCTTACCCTCCTTCATGCTTGTGTTCTAGGAAAAGCCCCAGCATTTGTAGCAAAACCACTGGGGGTTGGTGGGGGTGGGGGTGGGGTGGATTTTCAGCCTGTCTCGGTCTCAGGGGAACAGCCCAGCTCCCACCAGCAGGTGGACAGCCTCAGGGAGCCCTGCTCTCTGGGGTTGCCCTGTTTGCCCCACCAGGAGCCAGGGGAAGCCACCAGCCTAAAGCATGCTCAGATGAGGGCAGAGCTGCCTCCGATCCTGCAGGGCCTGGTGGCAAATTGGGCATGGGAGCCACTGGGCTGGACAGTTCCTGTTCTCTGACCAGGTGGAGCCGCACCTACATCCTTGGAGATGCACTCATTCTCACCTCATTTTATTTATTTTTATTTTTTTAATATATTTTACTGATTTTTTACAGAGAGGAAGGGAGAGGGATAGAGAGTTAGAAACATCGATGAGAGAGAAACATCGATCAGCTGCCTCCTGCACACTCCCTACTGGGGATGTGCCCGCAACCAAGGTACATGCCCTTGACCAGAATCGAACCTGGGACCCTTGAGTCCGCAGGCCGACGCTCCATCCACTGAGCCAAACCAGTTAGGGCCTCACCTCATTTTAAAGAGCCCCCCAAAGGAAGTGGTGATTGCACCACCCTTGCCAGAAACACACTGAGCACTGCTGGGCTCCATTTCTCTCCCCAAGAAAATGGGAATAACCTTTCTCTTGCCAGCTCCGTTCAGAGGCAGTTTATTTCTCCCGAGAGCCCGGAGCCAGGCCCAAAGCGGCAAACACAAGGACTCCACGGGCTCTGAGAGACGCAGGGCTGCACAGCCTTGACATGACTCCCTCGCCCCACCGCAGGTTCTGTGGGACACTTGTCTCCGCTCTTCTGTATCATTTTCTCAACACAAGCCTGTTGGGGGCACGCAGCCCTGGGCCCTCGGAGAGCAGGAGGCTGGGCATGGCCCCCGAGGCGTTGAGGGGTAGGGCGCTGGTGCTCATCCCCACGGAGCAGAGTGAGGCCTTGCCTGCATCCTGACCGTCCTCCCTGTGGGCCAGAGGCCCCAGCCCTTGAGCACTGTCGGTCCTCACTCACGGGGGCTGGGCCACGCGTGTTCTCTGCTGTTGCTCTCCAGCTGGAGCAGACGGGAAGGAGGGCTGCTCAGAAGTAGTCCTAGAAGTAGAAGACGTAGAAGAACCAAACTGCTAAGAAGAAGATGAGGAGCTGCTCAGTGCTCACAGGGTATTCCACCTCCTGGCAGTCAGGCCGCCGGGCCCTGCTCCTGGGTCCTGGGGCAGAGCGGGTGCCCCCATCCCCATGCCTGGCCTGCCTCCTCCGGTGGGTCTCCAGCTTGAGGCTGCTCAGCCGCTGGATGCTTTCTATTCCCAAACCGGTCCTCTGCCACCTGGGTGGCTGTAAGTAGGTCTGCAGACAAAGAGACCTGCCCCTGGAGGAAACCGCCTGCCAGGCCACTGCTCACCCCCTGCCTGTGGTATTGTGATGCTGGGTTGGCTGCCATTGTGATGGCCGCTGGGTGGGTTGGGGCTGCCTCAGGCTGACCCCCTCCTGCACAGCTGGCCCCTCTGCCTACTCAGCTTCCAGCCTAGCCTCTCAGCTTGCTGTAGCCTGCCTGGCCTCACACAGGCAGGATTGGTCCTTCCAGATCTAGGAAGGGGAATGGCTGGGTTAGAATTAGCCAAAGATGCACTATCCCATGTAGTAACAACTAGCCTCATGTGGCTATTTAAATTAGTTTAAATTAAATTAAATTAAATTAAAAACTCAGTTCCTGAGTCACAGCAGCCACATTTCAAGTACTTAATAGCCACATGTGCTAGTGGCTATTCTATGAGACAGCAAGATATAAAACATTTCCACCATCAAAAATAGTCCTGCCCTAACCGGTTTGGCTCAGTGGATAGAGTGTCGGCCTGCGGACTCAAGGGTCCCAGGTTCGATTCCTGTCAAGGGCATGTACCTTGGTTGCGGGCACATCCCCAGTAGGGGGTGTGTAGGAGGCAGCTGATCGATGTTTCTCTCTCATCAGTGTTTCTAACTCTCTATCCCTCTCCCCTCCTCTCTGTAAAAAAATCAATAAAATCTATTTTAAAAAAATAGTCCTGTTGGACAGAGCTGGGCCAAGTAGGAACATGGTGAGACTGGCCCTTGGTTTTCCTCAGCTCTATAAACCTGCCTCCTGACAGAGGCCTTAACCCAGTCCACCTTGCTGTAATGCATTGCCTCTCGTACAAAGAGGGGGCCATGGTCCAGAGGGGTGATAAGATTTCCAGAGTGGCACAGGGATGAGGTGAAGGAGGAAGAGACGGTAAGTTTTCATCAAGGTTTATACCAATAGCAAGATGATGCTACCCATCACCATACTAACAAGTGATAACTTCACACAAGAAAAAGATAACCTCACAAACATTTTGGATCTTTTCCCTTCCAATATCTATAATAATAAAAGCACAATATGCTAATTAGACCAGATATCCTTCCGGACGTCCTTTCAGATGACCTTCCGGATGAAGCCAGGCTGTAGCAGGGGGATCAAGGAAGTCTCCGCGGCTGCGATGGAAGGATCCAGGCAGCAATTGCAGCTGCGAAGGCCTACGTTTGCACGAATTTCGTGCATTGGGCCTCTAGTCTATACTAATAAAAGGGTAATATGCTAATTAGACTGGACATCTTCCGGACGTCCTTTGGGACGAAGCCACGGTGGTGGGGGCCAAGGCAGAGGCGGTTAGGGGCAATCAGACCAGCAGGGGGGAGCAGTTAGGGGGCGATCAGGCTGGCAGGCAGGCAGGTGAGTGGTTAGGAGCCAGCAGTCCCAGATTGCGAGAGAGACATTCCCCAAGGGGTCCCGGATTGGAGAGGGTGCAGGCCAGACTGAGAGACCCCCCCCTCCCCCCTATGCACAAATTTTGTGCACCAGGCCTCTAGTTTTATTATAAGGGGGAAATTGTCTATGTGTAACTGTGTGGTTTTGTTGCCTGCTAGTTCCCTTAACATTTCATGGGCATTTCATTAGACACTATCTAATCTAATAAAAGAGAAACATGCAAATTGACCATACCTCCGCTACACCCACCAGCCATGCCCACCAACCAATCAGGAGCGAATATGCAAATTAACCCAACTAAGATGACGGTTAATTTGCATACTAGGCACCAGTGGCCTGGGTCCGGAAAACATCATAGGGCACCCAGGTCACTCTGAGGTAGGCCCCATGTGGGCCCTGAGCAGCCTCGGAAGGGCCTGAGCCTGCAATCAGAGCTGAGGGGGCACCTGCCCAGGCCCAAGGCTCCTCCAGAGGCTTGAGGCCTGGGTAGGCGATTGGAGCGGGCTGGGGGTCCCCTGTTCAGGCCTAATGCCCTGGCCAGAGGCCTGGGCAGGGGCGGAGCCTGCGATCGCAAGGGGCTGGGGGTCCCCTGCCCAGGCCTAACG